GTGTATCAATGATTTCTTATTATATGCAGATATTAAATTTTAGTTATTACTCATACTGTAATTCAATATGAAAAATACATTTCTGATTTAAATTGAAAACGATTAGTTCAGTGTTAACAGATTCAAGTGATGTAATAAAAGTTTATAAGTTGATAAAATTAAGAATATTCTGTTTATTTTTTAATGAAATTTCTCATCTGGAAAAAAATCCAAATCGCTTTATGTAAGAAGCATTAAAGAAATCTTCATCAATAACAATGTGTTAATTAATGGAAACTATACTTGTGTGTATATCAATAATATTTTCCTTTGAAATTTGTTTTCAAAGGAAAGGTTCTGTGTGTGCGCCTTAGAATAAATAATCTCAAGTTGTGAGATTTATAATGTCGTAATATTCTGAAAAGTCCCGCAAGTTTCATGTGAAATTAAAAGCAGTATAATTTGCATACATACATAAAAGCAAGAATTAAGCATACATAAATTCTAGTTTTACCGTGTGAAGAAAATCTCAAAAGCATCAAAGCAGCCCTATCAACAGTTTCATCACAAAACAACTACATTGCAGAGCATGTTTTCAAAGTATCTCAATTTTTTTTAAAGTACATACTGATTCTACTGAAAATGTATTGTTTACAAGATAAATAGCTTACAGATGCTTCGCCACTTCGTAAAATTTTTAAAGATTTTATTTTTATTTCTGTTATTGGTTTTCATATATCTGACAGGCTGCATGCTTTTGTAGCCCAACAATTTATTTACTGTATGAAATTTATTAATCAATTTTCTTAGAATAGTTTAAGTTTTCGCTATTAATAAATTGTGATAATCACTAGCAATTCAAAAATGCTCAGTAACAAAATACAGTAGCATTTTCAAAAGCCCCGAGATTTACTCTTATATGAATTTAATAATTTTAAAGCACTAACTATATTTTTGTGGCATTCTTAATCATTTATTTAGAGAAATATCAGCACACTCTGGTTGTCAGCAGATACTGAATTATGATTTTCCTTTCTAATAATCAAGTGCTATTGTTATTCGTATTATGTTACTATGTTCTCTGTCATATATTTGACTGCATATTTCATGCTGAAACTTTGTTCTTTTGCACATATTGTTGTGATATGTCCTAATAAACACATTATATGTTGATGTTATGTAAAATTAGGTTGCTAACTGTGTATATATACCATCAACTGGAGAACTTTACACTAATAAATTAGTAGTGGTATACTGCGATAAAATATGCAGATCAAAAATTAATTAATAAATTAATTGTGTAACTAGTAAGGATGATGTTGTGACAAGATTAAGAGCATTTTATTTTATATGCTGTTTTTGATTCATCTTAGTATATTTTAATTTCTAAAATATTTAGAGATTATTTTATATACAACAACCTTATTTTGGCACTGATTTTAAATAGATACTGGTCCCTTTAGCATAATTTTTTCCTCTTGAAGAAGAGGGACCTGTGTCCAGTTGCTCTAAAACACTGACAGTTTTATTTAAAAATCTATACTAAAATAAAGTTGCCGAATTTTAAGTTATACATTGGCATATTTTTCTTTCTATTTGACAGTTACTAATACTAGTGTTCCAGCTAAATAGACTTATAACAGATTCCCCAAAGTTGTATAATAATGCAAGAAATTTATTCTCAAATTATCATCAGACATTTTCCATAACATGAACGTATCTGGCCTAATGTAAAAACGTATCTGTCTAATGTACACTTCATGAACGTATCTGTCTAATGTAAAAAAAAAAAAAAAAAAAAAAAAAATGTAACATATTTACTGATAATTAATACAATGTGTACACTTCATTAAAATTTTTAGACATTGATTAAATTTCTTTATTTCATTTAAGTAGTTTTAAAACAACATATAATAAATTTTAAGCCTCATTGGCATATAATAAAATATGCATCTATCATTATGATGCTAAATTTACGATTAAAGGTTGCCAGTTCTTTAATAAAGATTTTAACAATTTGTGATATTTTAGTCATACATACGCATTAAGAATTCCACTTGTGTAATATAAGAATAGTCTAATTCTTTTTTTTTTTTTTTAAATGAAACATTGAATTACATGCATAAATAATTTTAATCATGTAGCAGTACTGTATATGTTTTTACTATTTACAAAATGTTTACTTCATATTTCAAGTAGTTGAAAGGAGAAAAAGAAATATTACTTTAAAATATTTTTACTGAAGAATAATGGTGATTTATCAGGCTAAAAGCAAGACGCTAACGAAATTATTCTGTTATCAGTTATATTCACAAAAACAGACGTATCAGAAAAAAGCAAGACACTAAGGAAATTATTCAGCTATCAATTATATTCACAAAAATAGATGCATTTTATTCTCCAGCTTGATAAATGAATTTGCAAAAATGGTAATTTGTACTCATTAAAAATGTTTATCGCAGATAATGTAAATGTAATTTTCTAATATTTTACGTTCATACGTATTAAATGTTATTTCAACGGACTGTATGACATGACGGACAGAGTGTATACATGTTGATATTTTATGTGATTTCTTAAATCTTCAAAAGTTCTACATGAAAAATTGGGACATTTAAAATTTCCTTCAGCCACAACAGGTATTTTATGTACTTAACCAGTACTTTATGTACTTAACGAATGTGTTCATATAAAATCTTTTCTTTTTTTTGTACTCCTTGCAGCAGTACATACATTCAAATACTGCCATCTCCTTGATATTCCATTGTGAACTTTCCTAAAAAGTTATGTACTACAATAGACTAAAAAATTAATTTTGTCATCACAAATATTAAAAAATTAATAAAAACAAAATAGTAGCATATGATATTAAAATATTTAATGTTTGAAACTAACGGCTTGCTATTGTGAAACATTTTTCAAGATCGTGAACACAGGAAATTTCAGCTAAATTTATCTATTCTCAAAATTCAATATATTAAAAATAAATACTTTACATTAATTTGTAATAATGTGTTTATGTACAAGCAACCAATACCTAAATCACCGATTAAAATATTTTCTCAAATACTTTTAGCCCGCCAAAAATTACCACTGCACAGTTCAGAAAACAAGCAGCCGAAAATGGCAAACAATCCTTTGGGGTAAAGCTAAAACATGCCACCTTTGACGTCACATTTGATGTATATTTTCGACCAATCAAATTTTCCTGCCAAGTTGATATTTAGTCGCTCCCATAAAACGTATTGTCTGTTCTCTTCGAATGGGTTCAAATGACGCATCCGACAACTCAATGTGCATGCGTGATTGATGTTGGTGCGAATAGCTCAAGCGACTAATCGCACCGCCGGTGCGAATAGCATCGGCCATTTAAATCAGGACAGTCAGACTGCAGATATTGCAACTGAGTCTCTATCATCCTCTTCCAATGATGAATTAGATTTTGAGAAATATCTGGTAAATATTGAAAAGGATAAGGCAAAGTGAATGAATATAAAGAACTAAGAGCCTTTAGATATAAAAATGAAAAAAATACGAACAAGATTTCTACACAGTCCTTGAAGAAATGGAGAAATATGATCGCTCTTGAAAGACACTTTTTTTTAGAACTTAAATCTGTCATGAAAAGTTAAAAGAAGTAGCCCTAACAGTAACAGCTCTTCCTCCTATTGAAGTTAGTGTGGAAAGACTGTTCTCAGCTCTGAAGTTTATTGAATCACATCTATCATCCTCTATCAAAGATCTTGTCGAAGCAATACTGTTTCTTAGAAATTACTAATGCCAGTTTTTCATTTCATAATAAATGCTAATTAATCTGCTATGCCATCATTTTTTTATGTAGTCTATTACTTTTATATTTAAAAAAAAGAGCTGTAACACATGAGTAAGTTTAAAATTCCAAGAGTTGGAGTTAGTCATTTTCCCTACCGACTCGACAGCCAGTAATATGAGTAGCTTGAATGAATAAACAAACGCTTGAATATATATATTAATAATTAAAAATTACCAATTAATTATAACAATAATTTAAAGCATTCTGAGCAATAAAATAGTGCATTCTAATAGTGCACAGTGCATTTTATCTATCTATATAAATATAGATAAAACAAAGTAAGAAATTTAGAAGTAATATTTCACAAAGACCAAAAACTGAAATTCATAATTAATAAATTTCAAATAATTGCAACAAAGAATTTTAAAAAGTTAAAACCAAAACACTTCAAACAAGCAAAACCCAATTTAAAAAAATTATGAAATTTAAAGAAAAATAAACAAAAAATGAATATACACACTGCAGCTATGCAACTCATGTTGAAATAGAGATTTTAATTTAAAAGGTGTGATAAAAACCATACTTTTTTATTGTATTTTTTAGCTTTTACTTGCATGTGAACAGGTTTTACTGTCATTAAACAATAGCTTTATATGTAATGGTTACCATAAAAACCAGTCAGCACAATATTTTGATGCCTTTCTGATTTATATTTTAATGGACAGCTATAAGAATTTACTGTTATTCATAGTAAATATTATAATGTATTACTCATGGCACTACTGTGTATAGACACTATACATGAATTTCAGATAACACATGAAGCTATTGAGCACTCCAGAGACATATCCTTCATATTTTTAGAAACTTAATATGTATGAAAAATCTGAGGTAGGAGATTAAACAGTAATAATAGCACTCTTAGTAACACTGCAGTAATAAATAATTTATTTTAAAAGTTTTAATTTGGGAATATTCGACACCTCCATGATGCTTAACTTTGTATCTAAAATAAAACCAAATTTAATTAGCTTGTTACTAAAAAATAACTTGGTGCAACGTATTGTCTGTTCTCTTTGAATGGGTTCAAATGATGCATCTGACAACTCAATGTGTCATTCTGTTTATACACTGTAATTTAAAGCTATTACAATTTAACATATTTATTCTAAATTATTACAGGCTTAATACTTTATTAAAGTGTGAAATAAACAAATACAAGATAATAATAAAAATCAATGGCCAAAAATAGTAAATATTTTTTTATGCTTACAATATTAAGAAATGGAAGGTATACAGTTCTTATAAGATTAGGATGAATAGCTTGAAAAATGTATACATACACAATTAATATGAAAAAGTTACACAAACACTACATACAAAACAACAATTTTTTAATTCAAAATTATTTAATTAGACCACAGAATAGGTGGAATATAGCAGTATGTTTAACAATCAATCACTTTCATCTGAAGAAATACGGCGTTTATGTTTCTGTATGGTTTTTTTTGCTCTCTTCCTTTTCCCTTTTTGCCTTTTGCGTGAAGAACGATGACCAGCACTGTTTCTTTTGTCATTGGGATCGAATGAAAAATGTGCAACTACACTGCGCAATTTCAGAGTCTTACCTTTTGGAGTTAATTCTGAAGAATTCTCAAAACCTGAGCAACTTTCAGTTGAACTTTCATCTCCATTACCCGGTGAAAGTTTAAGTCTCTTATTTTTGGTATGTGGAACATTAGCAGCAGACTTATTTTCACAAGAAGAGCTTGGCCCATCATTATTACTTCCGGATGCATGAACATCACTTTCAACTCTGTGTGTGACACTTTCCATTATATATGAGTTAGATGTTGATGGTTGATTCCAAGGAACATTAGCACAATCATTTGAAGATGGCTCATCAACATTTTTAGAACTCTGAACTTCTGAGGGAGTCTTTACACCTGAGTCCCTCTCAGTATCAGAACTCTCATTTTCAAATGTCATATCCATACTTTTTAACTCATCATCAGTTGACAGCAAGTCAATAATTTCAGGTAGTCTTTCTTTTAGAGGTTTAAGCACATTTAATATTTGGACCTCACCATCATCAGATGGTGGACTTTCTACCGATTCTGGGATATTCGGAATCCTGAATGAAGATGAATTAAAACCAGATGTGCTTGGTCCAGGATCTGAATAGTACAATGAAAAATCAGGCAAGCTGCTATAGTCACGAAGCAGTGACAACGGTGGTGGAGCATCATTTTCAGTGTTTTCGCTCAGAAACAATCTGCTTAGGTAATTGCTTTCACGATTGGATTCTTCTGCAGTTACAGATGATGCATCTTGGGATCCACTAAAACTAGAAACTGGTATGACATCACTATCTGATGATGATGCAAACTCATAAGGTGCTTCACTACCTAAAGTACTATAATAGGCACGCCTGTCATAGTCTTCCATATCATATGGTGCAATAGCGAAACTATGAAATTCATGAATGAAATGACTTGTATGAGAGCTAAAATATGGTACAACAAAGAGAAAGAAATCTTGACTTCTAATATCATGACGAGTAATCAAAGCCATGATTACTTCCAAAACAAAAGACACATGGCTTTCATCATCCAGCAAAACACTTAATTCTCGGAGAAGCCATCGAATCAATCTTTGCGTACAAAATGGATTACGACTATAGAACTCTGGAGTTGCAGGTTGCATTCGATGTCCACTATATGGTTTCACCCATAAGCCATCCTCATAAATTTGTCTCCTGAAACTGGTTAGCAAAGTTGATACAGTTTGAGATGCAGAATTATGTCTAACAGAATGAGGTGCGTATGTCATTCTGTGAGATGCAATTACACTATCAAGATTTTCGTCTAAAGATATTCGATTTCTTTCATCAAATCTTTGAGCACTCATTGTAGTACTAGAGTTTATACCAGTGGCACTAAAACTAGGAAAAGTAGGCCATAAACTATCAGGACTTCTAATATAATACTGATCATATTCAACATCTGAGCAAACATTATGCACAATACTTTTAAAACTTTGTTTGCAAAGTGGACACTCAGCTTTCACTTTTGACCATTCAACCAAACATTTAAAACAAAACATATGAAAGCAGCTGTCAGTAAATGATTTATTTTTAAGCTGTTCTAAGCATATAGGACAGCATGGTTCTGGGGAATTTCGATCCTGGCTATCAGTCTTACATTCAGATGCTCTTTCCTCAGTCGTTGAACTAACATTTTCCCTTGTATGTTCTTCAGACTCTTTGTCATTCTCATCACTGGTTGAAGCAACTGCGCTTTCATGTGATTTATCAGGGTTAAGTTCACCATCTTTCAGTCTTAAATTAGGCGGCTTTTTCTCCATCTTAAATTATGAAACCTGAAAAGCAAATATAACACATATTTGAATACTTTTTCTTTCATTAAAAAGAAATGAATGAGTTCAAAATTAAAATTTCAATACGTTTCTTCATGATTACAAAGTCCAAGATTCAGAATTGTGAGGACTTCAGCGATTTTGGATCATCACTTTAACTATAGTAAGATAACATGCAGACACTGCAACACTGAAGTTTCACTTAATGTTTATGTCAGATACAAAAATGCTAACCTCTCAATAAGAATGACACCAAAGCACTGGATTGACCTCCTCTGGTGTCAAAATTTAAGGGTGGCATATATTTTGAATTTAGAGAAGCACCCTGCAGCAAAACTAGAGATGGTAGAATTTTTAGAATATGGGACAGGTACTGGGTAGTAGAAGTCAAGTGGGCAAAAGTTTTAGAATTTAGAGAAATACCAAATAGCAGAATTTAGAACTGTTATAAATGACACTAGGCGTTTAAATGTGTAGCGCTTGCCCTGTCCTCTCCCAACCAACCAAGAGCTGAAAGTGTGATCCTGGCCAACATCAATACAATGTCAAGCAATGCATTGTTATTGACCATTGTGTGACTTCTTAGCCAGCTGGTATTTGAAAGTGGCATTAAAGAATCTCAGTTAGTCAAAAGAAAAATTACATTTACGACACATCTGCTCCTTTTGTTATTTATTATATTTGCCATTCCCAGAATTTGTAAAGTGAGGTTCATTATTTATTTATTGGCAGGTGGCCTGGATATTAGATCCATCTGTATTTTGGACTTTGTGCAGTACATATTACCACATATCATTTAATTATAATTGAGAAAATAAATTTCTTCAATATTTATTTTTCCTAAAAGAAATATACAGTTTAGAAGCAATCAATATATGATAAACATCATTTAACATGCTAAAACTGATCAGTTATAAAAGAAAATAAACAAGAATATTGCCACTCTAATTTCATAGGCCTTATCACAATATGGAAATGAACTGGATTTATTGCCCTAATGAGCCCTCATTTCTTGATGCATATAATCATAATGCAGTAATCATAATAAATGTAATTCTTAAGAATATTTTTCTACTTTTCAAACTGACTAATTTAAATAAAAATGCATTTAAATCAGGTAATATCTAATTAGGAAAACCTTTTTATGAAATTACATTAAATTGACTTGTTGAAATCATTACACATTTTTCCCATTTTATAATAAATATTCTAAATGCATATAGCCACACAAATGGTTAGTGAATAAAATAAATAGAAACAGTAATATCATTCTGGTTTAAAGTATACAAAGTATAGCTGGCCAGTCGTTATAGTGGTCAGGGAAGCTGACTGCGATGCCGAAGGGTGCGAGTTCGAATCCCGGAGAAGGCATGGTTGTAACTGTCCGTCCCTTCGTAGGAAATGCGATGGTGGCCCACCTATTAGGTGCCTCCATAATAAAGAGTAACCCAGTTCATTAATAGATTAATCATCAATAGATTAATGGACTGGGTTACATTTGTAATTGTTCACAATCTGCCATTGGAAAAAAAAAGTACAGTATGGAAGAGTATGAAAAAAGATGTCAATGTTGGAGAAAGGGAAATTATTTCAAGTTATATTTTTAACTAACAGCAGTGATAGAAACAACTTCATGGAAAAATATGAACATCTGTTGAAATTATTTCCTTACAACAAACACTGTACTGCTGACAAATAGTTACCGTAATTTCCAGAAGAAAGTCTGCATCGGCATAAATGCAGCACTTGAGAAAAATGGTAGGAAAAAAATTAAAATTATGCAGAAACGCCACAATAGATTAAATCGCACGTGACATCGGCGTGGACCAAATAGATGCAAAATCTTGATCTATGTCCTGATCTACGACATATCAGTTAAGAAAAATGCATGACATGAAAATAACGCAAATATAAATTAAAGGTAAGAAATGTTGAAAATATATTTACGTTCACGAATATACTTATTATTTACCCACTAAAGAAGTCCATATTTGTCATACTCATGCTATATTATAAAAAATGTTGCAACAATTAGATATTAAATTTGAATGACAAAAGAAAATTTTAAATTTTACTTAAAGGAATTACAGCAAACTGCACATCAAATGAAGCCATCAAAATCTAATTCTTCACTACTTGAATTAAAAAGATTTAGTAAATCCTGATCTAAGTAAATTCTGGACTAAGTCCAAGTCTTCCAAATTGTCACATTCATCCTCTTGGTTTACAGTCTCTTTATCCGAGGATATAATTTCAGCTTCTTTGAACGCTGCTATTATTGACAATGTTTTCACTGATTTCCATGCACTTCCTACCCACTTTGCAACTTCTTCATAATATGCTCTACGCATTTTGCTGCTTTTGGTTATACGTATGCAATCCTTCTTTCATCCAACTTTCCCACCACTTTCGGACTACAGCTTTGAAGGATTTATTACCTGACAAATCTAATGGTAGTAAGATTTTTGTCAAACCACCAGGAATTATTGCTATGGTCGTAGACAATTTTTGACATCTGGTTTTCAATGACTCAAGTAAATGAGCATGCATGGAATCCATTATCAATAACCCTTGTGGTTGGAAAAAAGATCCCTTATGACACTACCAAGCTTTCTGTAGCAACTCATGCATGATTGTTTCGCACATCCATCCATTCTCGTTTGCACAAATAATTATGTCATTAGGAAAATCTCCCTTTGGAATAGTTTTTCTTTTAAAAATTATCATTGGTGTTAGCTTGTGCTGCAACCGCTTGTCACCATTTGCAGTACAAGCTAACACACATGTAAATGATGTTCTTTCATGCCCCCTCGTAAGCACAGATACAGTTTTTGCACCAGTTTCATCAACAGTTCTGTTTACAGGAGAGCCGAAAGCTAACGGCTTTTCATCCATATTCATTATCTGTGATGAAAGAAGTTTTTTTTGGTTAATAATATCTGTCACATATTTTAGAAAAGATGCCTTTTTATTCTGCCAGCCCATTGCTAATTGTTGGCCTGACTGTTGCTCTAGTACACACAGAAATATTTTTCTTTTCATAAATCTGCTTCCAGCAAGGCCCACCTTTAAAATCATTTATGTTCATTTGTTTTGCCATAAATTTTGCTTATAAGCAAATTTTTACAGTCGAAATTGCCATTCCCTTTCCTTGTTGCTCCTTTATCTAGGTTGCAAGGTCATCCACTAGATTCGGCCACCTTACAGTACCACTTCTTTTGGCTCTTTTCTGTTATGGCATATTTTAAAGTTCTTCTTTTTCAGTTCTCCAACCACGAATGCATCTCTCGTCCACTTCAAATTCTTGAGCTGCTGCTCTATTTCCAATTTGTTCAGCATGTGAAATTACATGTACCGTTTAGGTGCCATTTTCAAAAATTTTCCTCTCTTTTTTTACTTGAAAACTATTCAACAAGTACTTATACCCAAAGTGATGGGATCTGTATCTGGCAGAATGCCAAGAAAAATCGATTCGTGCTAAGGGGAAATACGTCGGAATTCATTATTGCAACGCAGGTGGTGTTCGCCTTTGAAAAAAATTGCAATAGATTTACAATGGAAAAGGTGTGGATAGGATGAGGGGTGGGGATAGGATGAGTTCTGGAAGATTCAATGAATGGCAGAGTAGAGAGACTATTCAAACTGATAAGAATGCTAATATGAAAGAGGGAAGAATGTTATTGTTTTGAGATCCCGTTTAGGGTGAATAAGGCACTTAGGTGTGTTCAAGGGAAAGAATGTAAACAAAATAAAGTTTGCAAAAAGCAACTGAATGGTCTTTTGTGTGGGAACAGCACCAATCTATGTATAAAGTCATCCAAACTATGCACAGTGACATCATAGGAAATATTTTTTTTAGTGTACCTAAGCGCTGCATGGGTAGAAACGCTGCGACCACTGAAAATGTAAATTTTAAACACGTAAACACTGCGGAGTTTCTTCCGGAAATTACAGTACCTGACAAATATCTAAATACCTGGTTAAAAAAAAAATTATTTTACAATATACATTTAGTTCAAAAATGAAAATGATGTACTGAACTCATATAAAATGCCTTACCAAAAACTAAACATTTAGTACAGTCAAAAGTCGTTAATTCGGACCTCAAAGCTAAAATCTTTCTGCGCATGCGCTGCGTTGATGCATGCGCATAGGCGTTTACGCGTTCGCGCAAGACTTTTAGGACTGCACATATGCGTCTGCGCAAGCGCAGAATACGTTTTCGCATGCGCATTTAATGTATAATGGCCGGTATAAGCTAAAATTATCTAATTATCTATTTCAGTTAATGTTGATGATTGCGTTGTTCCTTAATCTTCGAATTGGATCCGGCTTATTATTTTTTTCAGACTGTAAGAGCAATTTTATAAAAGTAAGCTTGAACTTTCGATTATGTCAAATAGAATTTCCGATGCTGGAGCTCCCAAAGGATCTACAAAACAAAAGTATGTTTCGATGTCCATCAAACAAAAAATGGATAAAGGCATATCCTTTGTTTATCTAACCGTTCCGAAATCTGTTTATCAATTTCACGCTGCTCTGCGCAGGGGGGGGGGGGGGACTTTAAGTTGATCTGTCAGCACTATTGTTATCTTCAGAGCAGATATTTTATTTTATTCGGCTTATAATTCCTTACAAAATGTAGTATTTCATCTCGATGTACTCTGTCTTTGATATGATTTAAATCAAATTCCTCGTCATTATAAATATCACGAATACAAATCAAATAGTTTTCTGGTTGCAATTTTCCAATTTTGGCTATGCGTAATGTATGCTTTACGCATGCGCGCGTTGAAAGAAATGTTTAATACAGTAAACAAATAAATATTAAGCTTCTTTTTTTGTAAATTTTGATACCCTTTAGATCATAATTGCTCATTATTTTATAAATTACGGTTTCATATTTTTAATTTTATAATTTCTGCATGCCATCTTACCCGATTTAAACTGATGATCTATAATCCGGAAAAAATCGATAATCCGGAATCGCCGAAGTCCCGGTG